GGACTCTGCCGTGTCCGAGGGGACTCTGCCGTGTCCGAGGGGACTCTGCCGTGACCGAGGGGACTCTGCCGTGACCGAGGGGACTCTGCCGTGTGACCGAGGGGACTCTGCCGTGTCCGAGGGGACTCTGCAGTGTGACCGAGGGGACTCTGCCGTGTCCGAGGGGACTCTGCCGTGTCCGAGGGGACTCTGCCGTGTCCGAGGGGACTCTGCCGTGACCGAGGGGACTCTGCCGTGTGACCGAGGGGACTCTGCCGTGTCCGAGGGGACTCTGCAGTGTGTCCGAGGGGACTCTGCCGTGTCCGAGGGGACTCTGCCATGTCCGAGGGGACTCTGCCATGTCCGAGGGGACTCTGCCATGTCCGAGGGGACTCTGCCATGTCCGAGGGGACTCTGCCATGTCCGAGGGGACTCTGCAGTGTGACCGAGGGGACTCTGCCATGTCCGAGGGGACTCTACTGTGACTCTACGATGTCCCAGACTGAGCAGGAGCAGTCGGTGACTTTGTCTTTGCAGATTGAATGAAATGAAGTGGTTTTGAGGACGTAGCACTTGGGCAGGTTTAATTTTAGCACCTCCCTGCGGCGCCTCACCTTCACGCTCAGAGACACAGAATCAACTCTGTAATGTACACAGAGCAGGATACAGAGACACTGATTAGGACACAGACACAGAGCAGACACAGAGCAGGACACAGACACAGAGCAGGACACAGACACAGAGCAGACACAGAGTAGACACAGAGCAGGACAGAGCAGACACAGAGGAGACACAGAGCAGGACAGAGCAGACACAGAGAAGACACAGAGCAGGACAGAGCAGACACAGAGCAGACACAGAGCAGACACAGAGCAGACACAGAGCAGACACAGAGTAGACACAGCAGACACAGAGCAGGACAGAGCAGACACAGAGCAGGACACAGAGCAGGACACAGAGCAGACACAGAGCAGGACACAGACACAGAGCAGACACAGAGCAGGACACAGACACAGAGCAGACACAGAGCAGGACACAGACACAGCAGACACAGAGCAGGACACAGACACAGAGCAGACACAGAGCAGGACACAGAGCAGGACACAGAGCAGGACACAGACACAGAGCAGACACAGAGCAGGACACAGAGCAGGACACAGAGCAGACACAGAGCAGACACAGAGCAGGCACAGAGCAGGACACAGAGCAGACACAGAGCAGGACAGAGCAGGACACAGAGCAGGACACGACGATAAAGTCTCTGACAGACACGACGATAAAGTCTCTGACAGACACGACGATAAAGTCTCTGACAGACATAACGATAAAGTCTCTGACAGACATAACGATAAAGTCTCTGACAGACACGACGATAAAGTCTCTGACAGACATAACGATAAAGTCTCTGACAGACATAACGATAAAGTCTCTGACAGACATAACGATAAAGTCTCTGACGGACACGACGATAAAGTCTCTGACGGACACGACGATAAAGTCTCTGACAGACATAACGATAAAGTCTCTGACAGACACGAGGATAAAGTCTCTGACAGACATAACGATAAAGTCTCTGACAGACACGACGATAAAGTCTCTGAAAGACACGACGATAAAGTCTCTGACAGACATAACGATAAAGTCTCTGACGGACATAACGATAAAGTCTCTGACAGACACGATAAAGTCTCTGACGGATACGACGATAAAGTCTCTGACGGACACGACGATAAAGTCTCTGACAGACACGATAAAGTCTCTGACAGACACGACGATAAAGTCTCTGACAGACACGATAAAGTCTCTGAAAGACATGACGATAAAGTCTCTGACAGACACGACGATAAAGTCTCTGACAGACACGACAATAAAGTCTCTGACGGACACGACGATAAAGTCTCTGACAGACACGACGATAAAGTCTCTGACAGACAAGACAATAAAGTCTCTGACAGACATAACGATAAAGTCTCTGACAGACACGACGATAAAGTCTGACGGACACGACGATAAAGTCTCTGACGGACACGGCGATAAAGTCTCTGACAGACATAACGATAAAGTCTCTGACAGACATAACGATAAAGTCTCTGACAGACACGACGATAACGTCTCTGACAGACATAACGATAAAGTCTCTGACAGACACGACGATAACGTCTCTGACAGACATAACGATAAAGTCTCTGACAGACACGGCGATAAAGTCTCTGACAGACATAACGATAAAGTCTCTGACAGACACGACGATAACGTCTCTGACAGACATAACGATAAAGTCTCTGACAGACATAACGATAAAGTCTCTGACGGACACGACGATAAAGTCTCTGACAGACACGACGATAAAGTCTCTGACAGACATAACGATAAAGTCTCTGACAGACACGACGATAAAGTCTCTGACAGACACGACGATAAAGTCTCTGACAGACACGACGATAAAGTCTCTGACAGACATAACGATAAAGTCTCTGACAGACACGACGATAAAGTCTCTGACAGACACGGCGATAAAGTC